GTTTCAAACAATTGAGCGAACCACTCAGCCACTGGATTTAATTCACACGGATCTGTGTGATTTCAAATCAACGCCTTCAAGAGGTGGTAACAAATATGTTATCACTTTTGTCGATGATAGCACGAAGTATTGCTATATTTATTTACTTAAAAGTAAAGATGAGGCGTTGGACACTTTCATTCGGTATAAGAATGAAGTAGAAAATCAACTCAATCGCAAAATTAAAGCGATTAGGAGTGATGGGGGCGGGGAGTACGAAGCTCCATTTGCCGAATTGTGTGCACAACATGGAATTGTGCATCAGGTAACTCCGCCATACACACCCCAATCAAACAGTGTGGCGGAACGAAAAAATCGCACTCTCAAAGATATGATGAATGCGATGTTGCTTAGTTCGGGGCTACCCCAAAATATGTGGGGGGGGGCTATTTTATCTAGCAATTATTTGTTAAATAAAATATCTCGAAAGAAACTTGATAAGACTCCTTACGAGTTGTGGTATAATAGTAAACCTTCCTATAAATACCTGAAAGTGTGGGGGTGCCTTGCAAAAGTTTTAGCACCACCACCAAAGAAAATAAAGATTGGTCCAAAGACCGTTGATGCAATCTTTATTGGCTACAGTGGTAGCGCGTATCGATTCTTAGTGTATAGGTCTGATAATCCAGAAATACATAAGAACACGATAATGGAATCGAGGAATGCAACATTCTTTGAAAATATATTTCCGTTAAAGTCGAGGGAAGAAACAAGTTCTTCCAAACGTTCACATGATGAAATGCTGAACGATGGTTCCTCGGATCAGTCCAATACCGGTATAATTGATGAAACCAAAACTGAGACTGAACTAAGACGAAGTAAAAGGACACGGACTCAGAAGTCCTTTGGTAATGATTTTCTAACTTATTTGTTGGAATTTGAATCGGGGACTCTATCATTTTTGATAGAGACTGAACCCGATATTCTAACATGTTTATTAGAAAATGAACCACGAACTTATCGTGGAAAGAGGCAATTAAAAGTGAAGTTGATTCTATTATGCAGAATCACACTTGGGAGTTAGTGAATCTACCTCCTGGATGAAAACCGTTAGGTTCTAAGTGGATCTTTCGGAGGAAAATGAAACCAGATGGTTCCATTGATAAGTACAAAGCCAGACTTGTAATTAAGGGTTACAATCAACGTGAGGGCTTTGATTATTTTGATACATATGCCCCTGTGTCAAGGATAAATTCCATTAGGATGATACTTGCAATAGCTTCCTTGCGGAACTTAGAAGTACATCAAATGGATGTGAAAACA